AAAAAGACTTATGCACTAAGTTGAATGAAAGCCCAGGTCCACTTATGTCACGGGATAAACTTTGAAATGCTTCAACTAGTGAAATGTGATATATATATTCAGACTTTTCTATACTTCAACTTTAGATAGAATTTATTTATTGTATTTATAAATTTATTTAATTCTATGTTGCATCATGTTCACGTATATTTCCTGTTTGTTGACTCATTTATGTAATAGTGATGGATAAATGGTTTTTACTATTGATTGTGCTTGCAGCTGATGACTCTATTAGAGAATGCAATAAAGAGGGATTTCTTGTCCCCAAAGTTTGAAACAACCAATGAGCTGTTAGGTTCATCAACACGAGGAACTGTTCTTGCATCGGTGCCGCCCAGTATAGCTGCAGTGGCCTTAAGATTGTTGGATCTTGATGCATCAATTTCTTATGTGATGCAACAGAAGTTGGAGTTTAACAAGGAGAAAGAAGCTGGAGATCTCATTGTAAGTTCTTTTTCTGTCTTCTACCTTACGAATTTGAACATTGCACGACACTTCTTATGAAGGATTTTTTTTATTAATGTCTTACCACACATACTGTAATGTCTGTAGTGTAAATCTTATATATTACTCTCACTTGAGTTACATAAATCTTTTTCACCTCCACATGTATAATCTGTATTCATATTGTATTAGTTAGTATCTCTGGGCCTCGGGCCATGATTGTTAAAACTCTTCTATTCTTTTGACCTAAATTAAGCTCCCTCATTTTGGTGTGGATTCCGGCATCTATTCAGATGCTCAATCCATCCATTCTTCAGCAACAGCACAAATTGTCTTAATTTAGATATTGCGAAAATTCCTAATATTCTATATTAGTAATTCTTGTTTCAGCAAGAATTTAAATGCGACCTAGGAAGGTTTTTAGTGATGTCAGATTTATGCAACTAAATTGCTATCTCCTTTTGCCCATCATTCTAACTGTATGACTAAGACAAGATGGATTTGGTTGTGGATTTAATTCAGATATCCTGGGGTAAAGATTCAGTGACTTTAAATCTGGCATTTACTAGTATCTGTTAGACTGTAAGGTATTTATGAACAAAGGAGTGACTCGTCTTAAAATAAGCTGGTGAACACTTTTCCCACATTTTCTCTGGTCACAGTTTATTATTCTGATCCAATTAGGAAACTAGTTTTGGCATCCTTTTTTATTTTGAACTCATATAAATTATGCTTTGCCAGATTGAGAGTGTAAACTGTTTTCCTGGGCCTAGTTTTGAACTTTTATGTCCTAGGCTGCTTGTTAGTCAGTATGTCATTTTTGCACAACAGTTGTCTATCTCTTTTCTATAGACTAGTACCCATATTTGGATCAGCACCAATAGAGACATGGAAGAGCTTTTTAAGAAATCAGATTACATGCTTGGCATTACATGCACGTCTTATCCTGAGACTTGAGTTGTATTTATCATTATTTCTCCCAAGAAAATTTGGAGACTGATATCCCTATGATTTTCTTCCATGTAGATAATATTCTTTTTCTTTTAACAAAATCCCACTTACAATTTATGAATTTCTGATTGCAGAAGCTACCATCAAGGTTTAGCGCTGTCAAGAATATGCATGAGCTCGAACCAAATGGAAGTCCGGAACAAATTGATTACCAAAGAGATGTTAGGTGGCTTGATCCTGCAAGTGGCCGTACTCGTGGCCGAGGACGGGGAACTCGTGGTCGGGGAGGTCGTGGTCGAGGCCGAGGTGGAAGAGGAGTCAGAGGGATCGGCAGCTCTATGAGAGCAGAATATAAGGAAGACATTTTAGGAAGTTATGAGAAGACTACAAGGAAATATACGAGAAGAGGAGGTCGTACTCGTGGTGGTTGGGGAAGAAAGCGAGGTCGTCGCTCAGTTAGGCCTCGTCAGAGATCAGATACCCGAGTAACAATGGCAAAGGAAACGCAGATGGGAAGTTTCACCAATGTTGGCATTAATATCAAACAGAACAGTTTCGAGGAGTCACCAAGGAGCTCTGCAGGAAACGAGTGGGGTCTTGAGGAGAGGACTGCTTATGTTGAAGAGGAGGACAATAGCTCTGGATCTGGGTCTGAGAACGGTCTTGTTTCAGGGGATGAGTATGATGATCAGGCACCCAATTATGTGGTTGGCTATGGTCAGAACAAGCCCATGGGTTTGTTGGATGATGAGACGGACGAGGACGAGGATGATGTCGATGGATATGAAGTGGAGGATGATAGGTCTCGATTGAGGCAGGCGATGATGGATGTGGATGTGGATGATGAGGATGAAGAAGAGATTGGGGATGATATCAGGGGTGGGGATGGTGAAGATGTGGGTGGAGATGTGAATGGGGATGAAGATGATTATTCTTCTTCGGAGTATAGTGATTGAGAGAGTAGTATTACGAGTATAGAGGTAGTGATAGTTCTTTCTTTTGTTGGGATTACTGAGAAAAACTTAGTTGATAGCAGTTTTCATTCTTTTATGCATAGCGGCAGCATTTGAGAAAAGCAGTTAGCAGGAGCTCACGAGAATGTAGATAATTTCAGGCGCTGAAGACAGGAGCCCTCTCTAGTTAATAGCGGAGGAGTGGGAGCAAGGGCAATGTGCTCTTGGAAGTATTTTCGTATCAGACAACTTTGAACATGAATTGGGCTTTTTCTCCCCCTGTTCATTTTTTCTTCCCTTCAGTTTTATAAATGTTGTATTATGGTGGGTTATATATTATGATGTTTATTGGCAGCTCCATCCCACTCTCAAACTGATATTTGTCTAAATTAAATGGCTCAGTGTCCTGCCGTTCTCTGATATGCTCGCTTTAGTATGTTAATATGCTTTGTTGTTCTCTTTTATACGTCTGTTTTTTTATTGCTTTTCATGGTTAATAGCAAACATGAGATCAAATATTAGATATTTTGAGAGTATATTTTTTTTTTTCGAATTCTCATGAATTTAGTTGTGATATGCGTTGAAATGTTAAATTCAAATTTTCTGTTTCTCCATTCAAGTGAAGCCGAAGCAAGGCCTTTCTTGGTTTCTTTTCCTTGAATTTTAGATGTTTGATACGAATAGAGTAGCGCGCTCCTACTGTAATCTACAGACACAAATAGAGCATTGTTACCCTTTGCAATTTCTAGAAAACTTGGATAAATTGCAGTAAGATAGCTACACAAATAGAGTAACGCGTTAACAACAGTTTATTACCTCGTATCATCCGTAGACGCAAAAGAGAAATGGAAAGTCTAAGGGCTGCCCTCTGAACACTCGCCAAAAAATACCTGGATAAGTTGCAACATGACATGTTTAGTATCCTCTTGACATCTGGTAAATCAGAAATTTTGCCCATTTACACTTGAAGAACACTTCTAATTGCATGTGCATTTCAAAAGTTTTGTCTTTTCTTTTCTAAAATTTCTGAAAACTATGTTGCCTAGTCCTAATTTTTGCACCAAATACGGAGGTGAAATATTTTTCTATTCTATTTTTTTAAAATATTATTATTAACATTTTTTCATTCTAACTTCTTAACCCCCTTGTTTGACTCCTAGAACTTTGACTTAAAAGGTCAATGGTCGATTCATATCTATGATATGTCTAATCCTAATTTTTGCACTACTTGTACTAATGCGAATTTAACCCTCATTTTTTTTTTGAAAATCCATGAAATAGTATCCACAGAACGTGATATAAAAAAATTGCCGGGAAGGGCTTGAAACCATCCATACTCTCTCGTTCAACCCTCTCTAACCCTGTGGAAATACTAAATCGGAAAAATAGGCAATCCGGTTTCGGCTGCTCATTTATAACCGGCAATCCGAGTGGCGGGATGCCGTTGTGATAGTATCGCGCTACACGGATCCAGTCAGTTCAGAACGTTCCAGCAGTGCTTACGAGCGCTCCTCTCCCTGTCTAGACATCGCTCTCTCGTTCTCCCCTCCTCGCCTTCTTCTTCTTTCTTCCTTCCCTCCCCTCAAACGCTCTGACTCCGCGATCACAATTCCTAAAAACTCACAGCTCTCCATCTCTGCTCTCTCTTTCAAACGATAAAACTGTTTAGAAAAAAAAAAAAAAAAACGCAAAAAAGAAATCTTCCGTTGGTTTCCGATCCAGATTTCTTAGCATCAGCGGCCATGGGCGTAGACTACTACAAGATCCTGCAAGTCGACAAGAACGCCAAAGACGACGACCTCAAAAAAGCCTATCGAAAGCTCGCCATGAAGTGGCACCCCGATAAAAACCCCAACAACAAGAAGGAGGCCGAGGCCAAGTTCAAGCAGATCTCCGAGGCCTACGAGGTACCAAAACCCGAAATCCTAAAAAAAATATTCTAAATGGCTCCCCTCGCCCCCCCCCCCCCGCCCCACCCCAAAAAAAAAAAAAAATAATAAAATAAAAAACCGACCTCGAATCACAAACGGCCGCTTTCGAGAAACTCCTGACGCCGAGTTAATCTTTCCTGGCAAGGTCACCTGAGCGATGCCGCCAGAAGCGCGGATCCTACGATGCAGTACGGAGAAGAGGGCCTAAAGGGCCAGGGTTCCTCCGCCGGTGGCAGGCGGCGCCGGGGTAGGGCTGCCGTTCTTACCCCGGTGCGGCGGGCGGCGACGGGCCGACGGAGCCTTCAGGTTCAATGCCGAGGAACGCGGAGGACAGATTCGGCACGAGTTCTTCGGTCGGGAGCCCTTTCGGCGCCGGGAATGGGAGGGATGAAAAGCGTGGGACGGCGGAGGTTTTCGAGCAGCATGTTTGGGGATGATTTGTTTGGCTCCACGTTTGGGGGTGGGATGGGGAGGGATGGGCCCATGAATATGGGAGGAGGGCGGCAGATGAAGGCGTCGCCGATCGAGAACACGTTGCCGTGCACCTTGGAGGAGTTGTACAGGGGGACCACGAAGAAGATGAAGATTTCGAGGGAGATTGCCGACATCAGCGGGTGAGTTCTTCGTTCTGCAATTGCAGTAATCGCGTCAATCGTGATCTGTTTGATTCTGGTTGTTTGTTAAATTTGCCTGAATTGCTTGGATAGTTCGTACGTATGCGGTCAGGGGAGTGTTATCAAAGCTAGCGTATTTGTAAAACGTTGTATATTCTTCAAATTTGTGACCTTCTTGTTGCATGCATAGCTCTTTGATTTGACTATATGATCTAAATTTGAGCTGCCTAACCTATTCTAGGACGTGCATTGATAATCAGAGCTATCTGGAATTCTTTGTCGACATGAAACAGTGAGGGGCATGCTTCCCCTTGCTTCATTTCTACCCAAGTCCCTTACAGTAAAACACCCAAGAAATAAGTTCTCCTAGATGGAATAACACGGTAGGCTACTAAAACCTTGAGCAAATTAGGCTTTTAGTAGAGAAATCCTCGACGGCCACTTAAAATTTCATCATGAAATCACCATTGAGGACCCCTGTATTTTATCTGATACAGGTCAACACTTGAACCTACTGATATTCATGTAATATTTGAGTTCTATCCTCGAAAGTTTGTCGCTTACAAACCACCAAATTCCCATTGGCAAAAGCATTATCTTTCATCTTTTTTTTGACCGAATGCCCCCGGGGTGCTCCTTTCTGTGGTTTTTATGTGTGAATTCTTGACTTCGTTTTGCAGATAAACAAATTATCTGCTGTGTCTGATTAAGTTTTCCTCCCTTCCGCATTATGGGTGCTAGGTAGAAGAACTTTTTACCGTGACGGAAGCATCGGGTTCACGTCATGAGCTATTCCATGTAGCACATAGATTGATTAGATATTGACAACTGTATCCTTTCCAGGATCTCTTTGTGCATCGTTGCATCTACTTCTGTTGAGCTTGGAAATGTGCTTAAGTTCGCCTTTTCTGCTGGAACATACTATACCCTGACTCGAATAGGAAGCATAATGCATTGTTTATATTATTAGCAGTAATTCGTGTCTGTTTAAGAGAAAATATGTGTTGACAAGTTAAAGTCTTGAAACAGGTTCCATGTAAACTGATGATGTATACATATTAATACACACGAAAATGCCATGTACATGCACAGAACGAACAAGCTACTAACATCAGGTGTCACTTTGATTTATAATTGCCCCGTACCTGGTTAGCATTTTATTCCATCAATCGTTCTATAGGTTGTATGCCACTCTAGGTTACATTTCACCCTTCTACTTCAGTGTATTTCTACGCCATTAGGTTGACAGAAATCTATTTCTTCTGAGTATAGAGATGCATTGTCTCCTTGTCTCTCAAAACTTTTAAGTACTTGTTCTGCTCCCTTTACGGATGTCCTTGTAAGGTGTATGCAGTATCACTACGCAGTTGGCAATAGAAGACACTAAACCAAATTAACCTCTAATTCTTGCTATAGCGCATCTTAAAACAGGTTCTTTTTTTGCTTCTGCTGGTATCCAGTTCCTTTGATTTTCTGTGGGCCTACAATCATTTGCAGATTTTTTCCCCAACTAGCAACTGCTGAATTGAAAATTAATAGCTGTCCTGTATCTTTTCTCAGCAGCAGTATAGTTCTGCTAACTGTGTAGACGGTCCCATAAGACCATACGACAGGAGTATATGTCTGTAAAAATGTCCTTTGCTTCTGCACTTCTTATTGTCACACATAAAATTGCGGTTTCCTTATCGCTGTCTGATACAATTTTATGTATTCAGGAAGACGATGCCTGTGGAAGAGATCCTGACAATCGAGATAAAGCCCGGATGGAAGAAAGGGACAAAGATCACTTTCCCAGAGAAAGGAAACGAACAGCCTAACATAATCCCTGCAGACATCGTCTTCATAATCGACGAGAAGCCCCACAGTGTTTTCAAAAGGGACGGCAACGATCTCATCCTAACACAGAAGATCTCCTTGGCCGAAGCTTTGACAGGCTACACTGTCCTTGTGAATACCCTCGACGGTAGGAGCCTCACAATACCTGTCAACAACATAATCCATCCGGAGTATGAGGAGGTAGTTCGAGGGGAGGGGATGCCGATACCTAAAGATCCCTCGAGGAAGGGCAACCTGAGGATCAAGTTTAATATTAAGTTCCCTACTAGGCTTACTCCGGAGCAGAGAGCTGGGCTGAAGAGGCTACTAGCTCCGTGAGGCCTTGTTCAAGGGCGCAACATGTGTGCTCTGATGAATCTCAATTTGATTCTGTCTGGTGTTGTGGGTCATTTTAGTCGAGTTTTGGAATAAAACTTAAATAGGGGTACGGTAGTGTTAAGAGTACATGCTAGTGTTTACTGTGAATTGATGTATTTGGTGAGCTATAGTGTTCGATGGTCTGCGTCGTATCTTGATGATCGAGTGTATACAGCCTTTGCGGAAGAAATGCACGTGTCATTGACGTCTCATTCGTATTGGCTTGAGGATGTGATACCCACCTCAAGTGCGATGTTCACATAGGCTAATGGGAAGGATGCGGCCGAAAGCTCAGTATATTTACATGGCTGTTTTCGCGGTGAGTGAAGAGGGGTGAGCCCTGGGCGAATAGTTCGAGCGGTTAGGTTATCGGATCGTTGAACTTCGCCGACGTTGTTGCCGTCGCTCGTTTTTTGGGAGCATGATTTTTTGCCTTCTTGAAGAACGCGGCGAGCAACAGTTAAAAAATTGTCACGTTGCCCGTGTTTACTCGATGCTGGGCGTGCATACGCCTCGCTTCTTAAGCCCTACAGTCGAATACCTTCAAAACTTTTTTTTTTTGTTATGTTATGTTAGTCTGTATCGTTAGTTAACTGTTAGAATATTCGCGGCAACATGTTAATTTAGAACCATTGCCTGCTCAGAGTTTTTTTTTTTAATTTACAACAATTACCATTCGCTTAAA